GCAATCTAATTCAAGTGATAAAATACAGTATGATTGCTATTATAAAATATAATTCCAGTGTGATTGTTAGCTTGCATATATTTCAGACATGTTTCTTGCTGCTTTTGAAGCAGAAAGGGACTCAAAAGTAAAACAAAGCAGCTGCAGTGAGTACTGAAATTTTTCACCCATCCTTAGCCTCAGTTGTTGATACATCATGGATTTAAAACCACCAGAATCCTGCACCCTAGTATAAACCACTTCCATGCTTGTCTTTTTGACTAAGTTTTGCTATTTGCTGTAAATTCTAAAGAGACGAGGCTAAGGTAGATACAATATTCTGTGTCACGTGTCCTCAAGAAGGTGACTAGCAGCAGATCAAAATACAGGCAGACTGTAAACTCCACGAGTAACACAATGGGAAGGGAGCCTGAATTCAGGCTGGAAATGCTTGCAAAGAAAAGCCTTCAGAGAAAGCATTTCTTACTCCACTTTTTCATCCTGCTCACACATTAGCATTACATGCATCACAGCCGTGTGCCTGTGGCAACAGACTGATGCCTCCCCAAGTCAAACAATCAAAACCACTGAGCACAATTGCAGGGTAGATACTTGCTGTACCTGTTGCTCCAGGTCCCTCCACTTCTCTCCCTCTGCATTTTAGAGCAAGGCTGACCATCTTCTCCCTCCCAGTCCTTCCCTGATATTGTGCTCCCTTTTGTTTTCTGCTCCTGACACTTGTGCCATTTCTTTAGCTTTAAAGTAACACTAGGTAGGAGTTTAAATATGGCCCCAGGAACAATAACTAAAATTGTTGGAATTCACATAATCCCATGGAGTTGTGAGGATGCCAGCCTCAAGATTTCAGCAAAAACAGAGTCAAAGCAGTACCACAGTCACTAACAATACAAGAGACATCCATGAGGCACACTGACCTCTCTCCCTAAGTCAAACTGAAAATTTCACCATTCCACTTGGTTCTTCACAACATTGTCCCAAAAAGAACTTATCAGTGTGATTAGTTTTCAAAAAGCAAAATACTACAATCACATATGCTGGTTGCTTATCAATTTTGCAGACACTATAAAAAGCAAGGAATTAACATAATGATTCCAAACAAATGGAAGTGATAAGACTACACACAGGATTTTAAACTGATTGTTTTGGAATGAGAGTCATTCTGCCCACTAAGCTGCACAGTCCTTAACAGTATATTTCTGAGGCCCAAGCATCACCTATATTGCTAGAGGGTAAAAGAAATGAAATGTAAAGAACATAATAGGAATTGCAGTAAATATACAGAAAAAAGAACGATGAAAAGTATACTACAGAACACCAAAATAAAACATAAAGGGGAAGATAGGTAATATTGGTGACTTAACAGGAAAATTTTGAGCAGTTGCTCCAAGTGGTGTCCACAGAGAGCTGCTATTCACTTCATGCTGGCTCTCCTTGTTTCCAGCTGCTAAGTTCACATTGAAAGAAGCTAAAAATACATTGAAATACTTTCCAAATATTATTTTCCCAAGTAAGCAATTGGTATAAGTTGTCACAGAGATGTTGTTCTCTTGCCAGTGAGAAAGGAAATACTATACAAGAAGTTGTATTCTATGAAATCATTTGTCTCACGCACAATGCAGCCGAAAATATGGGGGAGCTTGAAAAGGCATTATTTTAGCTACAAGTATTTCCAACTGTTCCCCTCTTTCAGTAAGGCAATATAGGAAAATGACACTTAAATATGAGGATCTTATCACCTGTGAGAAAAGCTATACTCTGCACTACTCAGGAGCATAATATGTGTGCCATTTCTAGCAATCAAGCTTTGATATTTCAATGAGAGAGGAAAAAAGACAGGAGTGGCAAATATCTACAATTTAGGTATACCATCTCCTGACAAACTGAAATTTCACAATGCTGCAGATTTAAAACATAATGTACCACTTTGCATTCAGGACTGTCCTTGCCAGTAAATTCAGCTCAATACAAAAGTAAAATAGGGGATGGGATGGGAAAACACATACCAAAAACCATCCAGCTCTTTCTGTTAAATGTGAAGTATAACAGGCTTTTTTATGACATGCCTTCCTCCAAAAATAGCAATGACTACACTGCTCAACTCCCACACCACCCCCCCACCCCAGCTTGGCTTTTTTGACATGTAGAACGTTATATATTCTCAGTCCTGAGGAAGGAGCCAAAGTTTGTAGAGCCAAGAGGACTCACTCCATCGCCCAGTACCTAAACTACAGAAAAGGAAGTAGGGAGGCAGGCAACTCTAATTTCTTATAGTATTAAATCTTCTTTTAAAGCCAAGTTGACAGATTTTTTAGGAACTCTGAAACCCACAGGTTTCCACAGTTTTGGAAAGACGCTGCAAGTCCCAGCAGTGATAATCTGCCAATTCCAAGGCACATTTGTGAGCAAGACTTTTTTAATCTTCCAAACAAACAAACACAAAGATTATACATTCTATTCTCTTCACAGGGATGAGGCGGGGGGAATGTTAAGATCACAGCTGCTGCAGCAGTGGAAGCTGCAGCTGCCTTGGAGCTTGTAGTGACTGTGTAGCCTACCATGAATTTGAAAGATGCTACTGTGCTACAGATACTGTTCCATTTGGGGCTTTTTTCATGAATGGAAGAAACCTGAAGCTTTGGCCTGCTGTAGTTAATGAAAACATTCGCAAATTGTTTTGCAATACTCAACCTAAGGCTCAACAGCCTTCCTACCAGAACTTCCTGAGTAGCTACTTAAGACAGATGTATTCTTGAATAACATCTTCATGCCTTCTATGACATTTAGTTTTCAGAATTATCACATCATGCCCAGCCATGATTTATTTTATATATGAAGGAGTACATATAGTGAAAGTAAGATGGAATCACAACCATTTAAAGTAACCTACATCTGGAATGAACTTACCTTTATGAAATATGGTTAGGCTTTTTAATAGAAAAAGCTAATATGTCTTTTAACAATGACCTAAATTTCACTAAAACCAAGAAAGGATGTATCAATACTTTAGGGTAAGATATACTGTACAATAGCTCAGCTTTCCTCATTCTGAAGAATCATGTCTGGCGGATGTATTTATTTTGTAACATTTAACTATAACAGAAAATAGATGAAGTTCAAATGAAAACACTGTTTAGACTATGTCAACAAAGCATAAACTAAATGAAATTATTCTGCACTGACTATAAAAACATATTTGCTAATATTAAAGTCAGTAATGGTTATCTATCAATCTATCACAACATGAAGTAATTCTGCATCTTAAGAACTGCGTTAAAGCAGCAGACACATGAAGTTAAATGTGATTTTGCAAAACAGCATCATGGAGTGCACTTTATTGCTGTTTTATCATTAGTGTAAATAATTCAACAAACCCAGGAAACCTCCAGATTACTTGGGTTTTTTTTGTAAATTGCAAGTCACTAAAGGGCTTTCCACTCAGATGGCCAATGCTTACTTTACACTTGCTAGCAAAAAAAAAAAAAATCAAATATAATAGTATCTTGTATACTGAAACAATTGCTTTGTTATAAAGAGAAGACTTCAGAAAACCAGAAAAAATGACACTGCTGTAAAAACCTGTAAGCCTTTTACTCTCAGTTCAAAGACTTAACCATTCTTCTACAACAGACTGAAGTTTCATATTCATCTCAGCAAATCAATCTGCTAATAGGCATCAGTCATCAACACCGAAGTAAAATCTGCCACATGAAACAGCTTTGATGTGATTGAAGACTCACACACAGTCGTAAGCATGACAGAACAGCTTAGCTATTAAAATGTTTTATCCAACAAAAAACTGTTCATCCTAATTGACTGAAATACTCTTTGAATGCTATTATTGCAAGGCTACTTCACTAAGCAGTGCCTTGGTACATAGCCACTTGACTTATATCTTGAGATCCAGCACAACCACATCAAATCTTGTTAGAGTATTTCCTTACACATACTTTTGTCAAGAGACCAAAACAATAAAGCTGACTGTCATTTTTACTACCAGTTGCTTAGTTAATTCGATACTGAAACATACTGGGATTCATTATAAACGCTGCATGCAATCAGCCACTTCTATCAATCTTTCTTTTTAGTGCAGTAACAGAATGAAACCTACTAACCACATCAGTTGAAATGGGTTGGCAGGACTGGGTGGAAGCTATTCTTCTGCACTGAGCCCAACCTCTCACCATGAGAGGTGCAGTAGCACAGACTCCTTTAAACAGCAAAGTGCAGCCCTGGCCCAGCTCCAACACTGACCATATGTCACAAGCTGACAGATAAGAAGCCCGAGACAGCCATCTGAAAACAACTGTACACAGCCCCAGCCACCAGACAGTGAGGGTTTCAAGGTCTACCTCATCATTCATTTCAAAGCCAAGTTTAAACATACCAGAAGGAAATATTCTTGACAAAAAAAAAATACAACCTGCCTCCCCACCCCTCAAACCAAACCAAATCAAACCACAACAAAATGAAATACCCAAACCAAACAAGCACACAGTCACTATCAGAAAGTATAAATGATGCTATACTCTAATTCAGGAAGTGTCCATTGTATATCACAATCGATTGCCACAAACACAGTCAGAAAATTACTAACAGTTTGTGCCTATAACAATCTCCTTTCTCCATTATACTAACAGTGTATTAACAAGTTGCAAAGAAAGGAACCAAATACACCAAGCAACTGCCACCAAGATTACATTTTACAAAATCAAACAAAATACTATACTATTGATTTAATATCTGAAATGAAAGATGATTTGCTATTTGTCCTGTATCTATTAATGCATCACAGAGTTCATCCATTTATGCCACTACTTTGGTTACCAGAAAGTATGTCATATCAATTCTCTCTATGTAGGCAACATCAGCTCTTATTCCAAAATTACTAAAGGATCAGCACAAAGGAATAACTAAAATTTACTTCAGTCCCCTATGCAATTTCCACAGCTCCATACATTTCATTTCCATATTCCAAATTAATAAAAACCAGGTGAACTTACCTACAGTTCGGAGGAGGGTCTAATGTAATCTCTGCAAGTTCTTTCTGAATTCTTGAAAGAAAAAAAAGATACTATCAGGACTTTTTTTTCAATATGTTGGTTTCAATTTTATGAACATTTTTACATCAATCAATATTAACAAAATATAATTCTTAGAATTTCTGATTCAAAGCTGATCTATAATGTTTCATGAAACTGCGCAAGAACATGTAGAAGTAACAACCAAATATTTTCTGAAAAATGAACGTCCAATATGGAACAAATGCCATGAGCAGCCACCTAGAAAATCACACTTTTTTCCATAGATCAAGAATCTCAGCTCTTTGGATGACTTACACAATCACTAAATATCTCATGTACCATCATTTTCTATTTCCTCTGTGACTATATGTCTTACAGTTCTTGCCCTCTAGAATATTTAGCTCCTTAATGCACATTGTACTGGCAGGGCAAAACCCCCCAACTCAAAGGAAAATTGCCCAGAATAAGCTCATTCAGGACTTCACAACCTCCTACATATTGGGGGGCTGATACCAGCTTCCTCCAAAGGGAATTTCTCCAGCTCCCTGGTCAGCCTGGGCACCTGCTGCTGGACTTGCTCTGTTACCTGCCTTCTTTTTACTGAGGGGACAAAATTGGGTAAATGCTATCCTAGATACAGTCTGATGAGAGCTGAGTAAAGGCAGATAGATAGATGAAAGAGGTTTATGGACTATGCTTCTGTTAATACCTCCCAGGAGGCAGCCCAGCCTTTGTCACCGCCTCACACTGAGCCTGCTGTCTGCCAAGGCCCCCACATCCTTCTGAGCAGAGATGATCCTCAGTGTGTATCTGAGCAAGGGGTAAGTCCTCCCCATGTCTATGGTGTTCATTTGTCCTTGTTGAATTTCATGAGTTCTCTGTCAACCCTCTCCTGCAGCCTGGCCTGATCCCTCTGAGCCGTAGCCTTGCCCCTGTGTGTACAAACTGCTTGTCATCTAAAAACTTCTCAGTGCACTCTGCCATGTCCTCCAGGTCACCAATAAAGACATTACAGGCATCCTGCCAGAGTTCTATCTCCAGGGAGAGCAACTTCGTTGTTAAGGATTTCTGGATATTCCCAGGCTGACGCTTCCCAGCCAAGTCCTTGAATAGCTGATCTCTGCCACAGCTGGCAGTGGGGGGGCTCTTTTCCCTTACACCAGCATCTGCATGAGAGCCAGTATCTTGACCTCTGAAGAAATTTAAGTATGCAGAATACGATACAGAGCTCCCAAAGGAACTCATAGGAGTTTACAGTTCCCAAAGACTTGCCAGATTATGATGCCATAAGCAGAACTGCAAATGCCACCCTCCCTATAAACTATGTCCAAGGCTTTTTTCATAGGCTACTTCAGTGCAAAAACATTAATATTTAGAAGGAGGAAGGAAAAAAAAACCAATTCAATACATCCTCAGTAGTTTCTTCTTGCCTTCTCCTTCACAAGATTTCATGCACAGAGAAGGTTGCTACTCCTATTATTGCCTAGACTAGAAAAGAAATAACACAACAATATCACTCAAATTCCTGATATAGGCGCTCAAGCCACAAGCTAAAGGTTCAGGCCTGACCTACACGTATCTTGTTAAAAACGACTGCTACCCATTTTGCATATAAATACAAGTAAAGAAAATGGCCTACCAAAATAAGCATTCAAGTATATTGGCATATATAGAGTAAAAAAAGAGCAGTTTAATTCTTTATATAATGCTACAATTTCAAACACTATCTTGCATGTAAAGGAGTCTCACAGCCACTATCAAAATTCCCCTTATGCAACTATGAATTGATTTTATGGCTCTAATGAATAAATGGACCAACAGCAGTAGAAGAACTGGCCTGAGCCAGGAACTCAAGACTTGATCATTCACATTCTGAAATAATTAGGACATACGTGGGCAAGATTTGTAGGCAGAAGTAATAATAATTTATTAAGACCTGATAAGATCATTGAAAAGATAAAAATACTCTTCCAGATGCTTAGATTTTCTTTAACTTCTGTGCATATAAATACAGGTAAAGTAAATGGTTTATCAAAATAAGCATCCAGGTATATTGGCATATATAATATAAAATGCCCCTGCATGTACTAAATGCTCGCACGCAACTTGGTGCCATCTGAAAACTTAAGAGTGGATTCTGCCATATCCTCCAGGTCAACCAGAAAAACATGACAGAGTTTTAACTCCAGGGAAGGTAACTTTTTTGTTAAGGATTTCTGGACATTCCCAGGCTGATGTTTTAAAGTCAAGTCCTTGAATAGCTGACCCAGCTGGGTGTGTATGCCCTACATCCAGAGCTGGTGCATACCCTGCATGCACACAAACACACAGAGTTATTTCTGTAAAGGGGAAACAATTTCATCTTTACTTGCTTTTTCTACTCATTGAGATGTTGGTACCTCCAGCATACAGAATTCCTCCAATAAATATCATAACTTGCTTATAAAAATACAGGCACAGTCTGCTTAATCAAGCAGAAAATCATTGTAGTAAAAGTGAAAGCCATCCCACTTTTTAATTAGTGAATTTTAAGCACAACAAAAATGTTGTTTTAAAAGTTAGCCCATTTTAAACAATCTGAACAAATCACAACTTTTAGAAGCGAGATCTTATAACTGTGGGAATGCTTAAAATATTTCTTCTGCATATTACAAAATTCTGCCATGATTTTGAAATTTATACTACCACAAATTCAAACTACAGAAAACCTAGGCTGCATGGAAACTTCAGTTTTGTGGTTTATGAGTTGTTCTGCTTTCTCAGCCTATTTTGAAGTTCCAGAATGATGGCATTGCACTTGTTTTTGGAGTCAGAGATCATTCCTTTGTTTTACATAGAGTAGTAAGAATAGTTAGTATTTCATGGCATTAGAGCGAGTATGAATAGCATCAAGAATGGATTGACAACTTCAACAACTTCAGTCCTAAATCAAAAACTTTACATTCTTCCTTCTAAATCCTAACCCATGTTCCTTACATTCTGAAAACAAAACAGTCTCTCATTTTCTCCATCTGTTCTAGTTCAACCCAAAACTTCTAATGCCAAGAACACTAAAATATCCCTTATCAAGCTATTCTGTGATTAAGCAGACACAGACAAACCACCTTTCTGCTTCAATATGTAAAAATTGATCAGATGGTACTGTCTATTAATGTTCAAAAGACATTATTGCCCTTGCAAACATCTAAGACAAATGTGTAATTCATGACTATTTTTATACAAACAAGATAAACATATTAATACAATACTGTCCATCAATTGCTCCTCAGCAAGCTGTTCATGTTTATTCTCCTGCTCTGTGGTGTCCCAAACTAAAATTAATTTATACACCTTACATTTTTTTTGTTGCAACCTTAATTTACCTTGCATTCACACTGAGGGCTCATTCATAAACAGTTTCTGTAGAACAGCTGACACGTAGCTTGTTCACATGTCACAGCATTCAAAGTTACAATTAAATCATCGGACAGCATCCCAGAGAGCCTTGCACTGATAGAGACCTCCAGTGTGCAAGCTGCCCTTTGTCTGCACGTGCTCTGGCACTCGCCTCCCATCCCCATTGAGCTGCCCTCAGAATCTGCCATAGGAGAGGACGTGCCTCATTTCCTTCGCTGACCACAGAGGATTCACTGCAAGAAAATGCGGCCTCTGGCAACAAAACATTTTTTTCAGGGTCCTTTCTGGCATCTGTTTCTTTGGATTTTCTGCCTCAATAACAGTTATGTTTAGAAATGTCAGAGAGGAAAAACCCTCGAAATTAAAATCATTACATATATACAGTTTATATTTAAACCAATGACATTATAGTTTATTATATATTGGACAATGGGGACGATGGCAGGGGGTGAGGCTCTTGCTGGTAATCAAAAGCCCTAGGCTGCACACATAAGACATGTAATTTGCAATGTCAGATCTAATACTTTGTTTAGTCTCAGAGAAGTCATCTTACCCTTCTCTCTCATATATATACACACACATATTAAAAAAATAAATAAATTCCCTCCACTCAACTAACAGAAAACAACAAACACAGTTGCCTTCCAGTAATGGTGCAAAGGTTAATCTACTCATAAATTCAGAAGCATGAAAGTACATTGTGGATTTCAAATATTATTAATTCTCACAGACACATATTTACTACTGTACCAAGCCAAAAGGGACTGAGTTGTTTCCTTCTTGAAACAATTCTCTAAAGCTAAGAAAGATGTGAACATGTTAGATAATTTACCAACATTACTAATAGGAAAAGAAATAAAATAAAGGACTACATGACAATAAACTCTTTTTACCACATCCGCTTTTCTAAACTACATGTCTATCTACCCATGAAAGCCAGATGAATCAATACCCTCTATCAAAGAATATACTACTTAGAACATACTTACAAATGCAGTCACTGGTATGTATTTCAATACTAAATAAATTGTGGCTGAGCAGGAAACTGATCTAAAGATGGTTAGGCTCATACTGGAGGAAAATAAATATTCTCACCTACCTACTAAAAGATGGATAAATGACAAGGATGTTTCTTGTAAGAAAAAGCACTCCATATTTTGCCATCATATTCAACATGCTAAATACAATTTCCAGATTCTGTGATAAACTTCACAGGAAAAAAAATAAAGGGGGGGAGGGATGGGAAATACTCAGTTTTGTTGAATTTTGAAACAATTTAATCTATCACTTATTTGCTCCTCCTTAAGGCTGCAACTTCTTTGAATAATTAAAAGATTACAACTAAAGTTGTACAGTTCTATGGCTACAATTTGTTGTAGGCACAGATATTTATTAAAAAATATCAGGATTGGACATAAAGGTTTACAGATTTTCGACCAGCAACTTCAGGAGCCAAGCAAAACAATACATTTATTTGTTGAGCTACTATGTCAGCCAAGAATGGTTACACTTCTCTCAATCCAAAGGTCATGCTAAGATTTGCTACTTAAGAGGTAACAAGATGCCTGCTGTTTTCAAGGACAGCAATTCAATTCCATGTCTGAACTGTAATTGTGATATGCAGCGAGTTTCTCAATCTTGACATGTTGGGTAAGAAAGGTTGCTATTTAAGGTGATGCCCTCTGGGTGAGGAAAATTGAAGGACCGGTACACGGCACGACATACGCTGTAAGCTATTACACCTGTGTAGCAGCTAGTCCTGGAGTATTAACAGAGAAGGACAGCGTGTGATGGCATTCTGCCTTCCTGATGCCATCCACAGCAATGCTAACAGAAGAAACTCCATATCTCAATACCAAAAATCTCACTCAAATAGAAATATGAGTGGTTTCACATAGCCTCTGTAATCAGATCGCTTTGGAAAGCAGTTAAGCTGTGTGAACAGTATACTCATACATAAGACATGGGAGCAGTTTACTACTACACAGCCAAAACTCAGCACACTGCTAAATCTTGATTATTATAAAATCTCATGCTACTGAAAATTCTTTAACTCTGACTCCCAGGAGTCTTCCAAATAGAGATGCACAAACCTTCCTCCACGTACTGTAGGTACATAATGCAATTCAAAAAAACTGGCGAGAATTCCATATGCTCAAAAAAGCTTTCCAAGTGAGAAAACCTGATTTCCAAACTCAGGTTAGAATCAAGCCTGTAGTCTGTGACTTCAGCCCCAGTGAACTTGCTAGTATTCGAAGCTTCTAACAGGAATTAAGGAATCCTGACCAAAGCCACAACTGTGCTACACCCTGTTGTTCAAGTGTTCTACTGATTCTTTAGCAGAGTTGACTCCTTTCACTATAAAAAAGGTACCAGACTAAGGCCTTATTAATCCTGCACTATTTCTCATTCAAAATGAACTAAAATAACAATATTACTATAAAGATATTTCATTCAGACTGTTTCTGGAATACTTATTACATATTGAGGACTTTAAGACATTTTTCCTTCCTTTGAGATACTCCCCTCTTTTTTGGCCTCTACTTTAATTTCTGATTTAGCTTTCTTGAGACATAACTGATTTTAATTAAAAAGCACAGAACAAAACTTGTGATATGAAAACCTGTCCAGATTAGAGAAGGTGCAATCCTTCAATCCAATTCTAACACAATGACAAACTACTGAATATTCAAAAAAAAACAAACAAAAACAAACAAAAAACCAAACAAAAAAAATCCAAACCAAAAAAAAGGAAAAAAATCTACCATGATACAAATAAAAACCCCCATTACAATAACTGTTTCTGTAATCCTTCCAGAAAGGGCTGCAACAACCAGCATTCCTAAATTACATTTCTCTTCAAAAATACTGTACACATATCTACACAACTATTATAAGTCATGTCAGCTTTTAAAATATATAATCGAATGTATATTTCTAAAATGTATAATCAATATTACTACACATGTGAAACTAGCTTTAGAGTCTAACTGGCAAATGTACTGAAGTCAGCAACTGATGGCATAATTAGTTTCAGCAGAACCATAAGCAGATATGATTAAACTTTAAAAGGTTTAAGTAATTTTATCGCTGTAAAATGCTTGTTGATAAAAGCTCTAAGCTTTGAAGATACAAAGCTAAGATTAATAGACCAATTTCTGACATATCACTATTAATTTTTTAATAGGATAGTGTCCACAGGCCCTTGTCAGAATTGTAGCATGATTACACCAGGCATTGTACAAAGTTCAGAATACACAGACTGCTTTCTAAAGATGCTGGAAACTGTTTTTATGACCTTAAAAGTCATGACTAATCCAATATTCCTAATATTTAAAAAATAATAATAGCAGGAAGCAGACGAAAGAAAAGGCCAGAAACCATAACGGCTGTGAGGATTAACTACATTAATAACATAATTTGTAGTGAAAGTTGGGTGGGGTTTTTTTCCCTTCTTGTCATAGAAGGAAACACGGGCAAGTTTTGCTGGCCACTCTGTTAGTGATATGACTGGCTAATCTCCTAATATTGTCACACTAGGAATGTGCTTCCAGAAAGTATGTCTCCAGGGAATTAAAAACAAAGAAAAACTAGCTGTAAGAAAGGAATCTGCAGCAGAATAAAAGCATGACATGACAATACCTAACTGGAAAGAAAAAACAGACTAAAATATCTTTACTAAAGTATCCAAAGATACTTCAGAAATTGATTTAATTGGTAAGGGACAGATTAAGGCAAAACAAAGACTGGAATCCTGACTAGATGTACGCACATGTTTATACTGTATTATTTGCAGACTCTGACTACATGCATATGTTATAAATTGTGCCAACAGGGGCTTGATGCTTCTCCTTTACCACAGCACCACAGTGGTACAACTCCAGTGTCGTTTACACTGCCTTGGACTAGCAAAGAAACGAGATCTGGGAATTCTGCATCGGGACAGTCTGCAGAATTGGTCTCTTGTCAGATTATTTTATGAGTGCTTTTTAACTTCAATCACTATAATCCCACTTGCCCAGACTAACAGCCCAATGTGTACTAGCGAAGCAACACTAAGCAGTAAATTCCTTCTGTCTGGTCCCAGCAAGACAATCGTTATCTGGAGATGGACATAGATAGCACAGAATAATTTAAATAGCTATTCTACAAACCCACCTTTCATCTCAATCAGAAAAGGGAGGGAAAATAAATGGGTATTAAAACAGATCACAGTTTAAAGTAATGAAACCAACATACATTTGTTGTTCACCCAAGTATTTCTGACCTGGCCATCTGGGAAAAGAAAAGGCAGTACTTCATGGCAATAGGTATTACGGTAGTCCTAACATGCTGAGTTACTGAACTGTCTGAAATGTTTATGGCTAATTAACTGTAAGTTACACTGACAAGTTTCAACATCAGTCATACATACATATACAGAGATATATTTTATAAGGCTACAAAACTGTCTGAGTTTTATTAGCAATAAAAAAATGTCAGCTTTTATCATGCAAGCAACTATTAAAACCATGTGAAAGAGGTAAACTTACAAAGAAAGGGAAAAGCATACAGGTCTCATTATAGTGACCAGTCTCAAAAGGTCATTACACTGATACAGTAATGTTATAATAAAACAATCAGAAAAATTAATATACTGAGTCAAAACATGGATCTGATGGCCAGCTGAAAGAAGAGAAAGGAAGAAACAATCAGGAAGAACACTGTACCTTTTAGCACTAGTTGACAATTTAGCAGCTGTTTTGCTTGATATTTTCCCTTCTTTTTTCTTGGGTTGAACTTGCTCTCTTTCTTGTTCCTGCTGAACACCTTCACGCTGATCTCCATCAGAGCTGCCTCCACTAGTGCTTGGACTATCATCCACTCTCTGCCCCTCTGTAGACATGGCAGATGCTGCACTGAACAAAGACAAAAAACTGAAGTTAGTTTTTTGAGAAGAAACTGCCTAATTGTATTGCTTACATGCTTAAGGAAAGAACACATGGGATATATGTCTTTGTCCTCGTAAAATAATGCTTGTGTCACAGTAGTTCAGTAATCCTCATACTGAAGAATTTTGCCACAAGCATCTTCATTTTAAACCCTATACCACTGCCATCCCCCTAAAAACCCCAACCAACCCACAAACAAAAAATATGAAACAAACACACAAACCAATCCCCCTGCCAAACTCTTCACACACACACACACATATATATGTATGAACACCAGAAGTTACTGAAGTTAAGTGGGAAACATAATCCTGCAAGTGTAAAACCATTCACTGTGAATTATGTTTTTCAAGCACTCAGCAATACCATCAGTTAGCTGTCCCATCAACTATGCCACCAGTTCAAATCTACCACAGCTAGTTAAAAACTGAGAGTTATTACTATCTTAGGACTCGCTGTTATCCCATATGAAATAAATCTGTGGGCTCATTCCAAGTGTTCAATGTGGGTTTCCACATTACAAAATCCACATCTTGGCATGCTTGATGGAAACACAGAACTAAAATGCTCTAACACAGGACTGCTTGTATTTACTAAAGCGGTGGGCACGTTGGTAGAGGATATAATGAAGTTTTTTCCTGACATTTCGTTCAGGCAACATGAGGCAACAAACTTGTCTAAGAACATGAGCAGCAAGAAATCTCAGCATATTTCAGAAGTCAAGTTAATGCTTTATTCACACACTTCCGATACTAGTTAGCTATTTTAACGTCTTCCTTCATTTTAAATAGTATAACAATATGCCAACAGATGAGGAATTACAAGCCCCCTGTTACAGCTGTCATGACTTCTCAAACTCTCAAACTGTTCTAATGAAGGACAGATGTCCATGAAAAACCCTTACTGAATTTGCATATCTGGTGGCACTGACTGATTTAAAAAAAAAACAACAAAAAAAACCAAAACGCCAAAACCAAACAAAAAATTAAAACCAACAAAACCAAAACCAAATTAAAACCAAAGTGAAACCCAGGTCTTTCCTTTAACTCCAAATTTGTACCTTATATACCTATGTTACATATCCTCCTTTAGAGATTTTTAAGAAAAAGCACACAGGCCCAAACGTTATTTGCTTACACCCACGCAATCCCCATATATCTGGGTGGTTTTCTGATCAAATCTGTCTGAATGAAGAATTTGCTCTTTCATACACAAAGAGTTTCAAATTGCTGTGAACTTCGACTCGCTTTTCCTCTTACCTATGTACAGACATCATCACAATTAAGAACAAAACTATTCACCTTGACTATTATATGTTTTAAGACTCGCTCAAGGGAGAATAATGAGATTTCAGGCTCAGATTCAACCATGCTTGTTCTATGGATTAAACAAAGTTCATCTCCCTGTACTTATTTATGGAAAGAGACAGCAAAGGAAAAGTAAATTAATATCAATGCCAACAGGGTTATGTTGAAAAGGATGCATTTTTAAAAGGCCTAAGTGTTCTTGTTAGAGAACAGAAATAAATTTACTCCTATACTGAAAAACCCTTGCCAAGATTTAATTCAATCAAATAATACACACTATGGAGTAGAAGAAATAATCTCTTCAGACATGATTGACACATCCAACTAACTTCAGGGGGGATTAGGTCTTTTTTGTGTATCTTGTGAAGCTATTCTGAAAAAGAATTCGGGAAGTATGGCACCCCTTCAAAATGTTTAGACATTAAAAGAAACAGTAAGCAATAACAAGTGATAGATATGTGACTAAAGTTCTCCTTCATCAGCTTAAGCTACATTTTTGATTTTATAACAGAAAATAATATTTTCGTATCTAAATATATATAAATACACAACACCTAACCTACTCATTAAGGTAAATGAAATAATGCAGAGTTTCTGCCCTAAAATTAAAATACAAAAATTGTCCACTCCTAGAGAACATTTTCTCCAATAGTACAGCTACAACAATACATTTAACATAGTTCACCAATTTACACAGCTGATGTTCAGATATTTAAATCCTGATTGGGAGATTTCAAGGTACAGCAGCAGAACACTTAGAGATAATAAGCAACAAAAATATCACATTCTGACAAGTCAAAATATGTAACTACGATGTGATTTTGGTAGTAAGTACTACCAAAAAGTACTACTACTTTCCTTGCTTCCACATAAAGCTAAAATACAACCTCATCTCTTTTTATAACACTTATGTTGGCCTTTATTTGCCCTAGATTTTACTTCTGACCTTTGCTTAATATGTCTAATTTTAAAGAGAAAAATCTCTCTTCACAATGTACATAGGCTTTAACACTGCAGGCCAGAAAGTTAAAAACATATTTAATAATGCTTATATGCATAGGACATCTGCTATGAATAATCTTGGCTATAAATATTACTATTATCCAAAAAACAACTGTATTCACTTCATAAGTTCAGGATACTATCCAGCAGACAAACACTGTAACAGTAGCCCAGAGCATATAATTACTGTAACATGTAATGCAAGCATTTACAAGAGGAAAATGTTTAAATCTGTCATTTGATGTCTGGTTAGTTTCTGGGGGGGAGGTTGGCTTTTGTTTTTTTTCCTCGCTCCTTCTGTCCCTGCTCCCCTTTCTAACATCCAGGCAATTCATTCTATTCCCTCTCCTCACAATACATGCAATTTTAAGAAGTTTTGTTCAAGGGATGCTCAATATTGCAGTAAAAGCATGTTTTAAGGGGCCTGAAATCAGACACTTCTAATGGGGTCAAACTTAAAAGACAAACAAACATCTGAACAAGTAAGAGAATGGGAGTGAAAAGTCAACTGAGAGGATGACACTGTGAAGAAAACATTTCTCTGCCACCAACACAGACAGAAATACAAGATACTCCTTGAGCCATAAGTGTGTTTGCAACTGTCACACAGGGCAAGAGGGAAGACACACGATGTCCAGGCTCCCGGCTGCCAGGCTATTCTACATTCAGACAAGAGTTGCTAACCTCCCTGCTGTTGTGCAGAGAAAAATGAGCAGAGGGGGCAGAGGAAGGAATGAAGGGGGGTTTAAAAGTCTCCCTTAACGTGAGATGAATCAGCACCGACAGAGATTACAAGTGGAATACAACTATCAATTTGAAGTGAAGGGTGTCCAAAATATTTTCCTTTTCTCAAATATATCCACCGGCACCTTCCCTTTCCTCCTCAAACTCAAAACAAAACCAAAACAACAACAATAAAAACAAACAAACCAACAACAAAAACAAACAAACCAACAACAAAAACAAATAAGACAAAAATACCCCAAACCACCAGTCATTATCAGATATCACGCACCACCAAAAAAAAAAATAAATTAAAAATCCACCAGTCGGGGACAGCAAGATTCTGGCAATGTGCAGAAGGGCGGCAGTGCTAGTGATGATGTCTTTCTAAAGCGCTCGTAATTTCCTATAAGCCAAGATAAATTGAGTATTTCTGCAGGATCCACCACGAGCAGCAATGGCAGCAGCCGCCTTACTTCATCTTCATTAGAAACCATAAAGGGCAAAGAGACCACAGCACCGCGGGACGGGAGGCAGAGAGAGCCCGGTCTGTGTAAGAGGAGGGTCCGCCGCTGAGAGGGCACCCGGAAGGATGGGACGGGACAGGACGGCAGCCCGGGCTCCCACGGCCCCGCGTGGGCACACGCGCCACTCTCCCGTCGGGAAGCCCCCGCCGTACGGGAGGGGTGGGGGCCACGAGCATCCCTAGAACCACACACCCCCCGCACTCCCACGGCCGGGCCAGGGTGAGAAGTAGGAGACAACCGAGGAGAGGAGGAGGAGGAGACAGAGAGAGGAAGACATCGGGGGCACATGCGGGAAGGGAGAGGGCTGGGCTGCGGGGCTCCTTGGGGCGCGGGGGTGGGAGTGGGAGGTAGTGCCTTTCCCGAGGGGCTCCAGCCCGGGGTGCCCACCGCTGCGGCGGGGGGTGTGGGGATAGCGCATCCCAGGAGGCTCGATGTGGTGGGGGGAAGGGGGGTACCCCGGCGCCCCAGGGGCGCAGAGAGTGCCGCGGGGACCATGCGGAGCAGGGCCGGAGGGGGGTGGGGAGCGGGGGTGGTCGCTGCTCCCGCCCGCAGCGGGGCGAGCAGGACAAATGGACACGGAAGAGTTGCTGAAAGGGTGTGGGGGTGCTGAGGAGCAATGGAGGCTGGATGGAGCCGGGGGGAGCGGGGAGCGCCGCCAGAGATGCCGAGGTGGCCGGGGGCGGCGGGGGGGCGGCCGGGACGGTTGCTATGAAAGGGCACGGCCGAGGATGACAAGGGGGGCAAGGGGGTACCAGGCAGCACCAGGGGGATGCGGAGAGGGTAGGGAAGATGAAGGATAAAGATAGAGACCGAGGGTCGCAGATAAGCGTGGGGGAGAGAGAGGGTGCTGCCGTGGGGGAGGGATGGCGAGCGACGGGGGGGTAGGAGCCCGGCGGGGGGAGGGGAGGCAGACGGGGAGCTCAGCCGGGGCAGAGGTAGGTGTACCCCGGCAGAGACGGGGCGAAAGCCGCTGCTACCTGCAGGCGAGCGCAGGTCTCTCTCTGGCTGGTGCCGGGCACAAGCTGCGGGACAATCCGTCGCGGTTGCCCCGACTCCGGCCGGGCGCGGGGCTGGAAAGGGGCTGCAGCCGCTCACTGAGTCATGAGCCCGCTGCCCCGCGCTCCTCGCTCTCGCCTTCCTCTCCCCTTTCCCGTCTCTCCCGAGCAGCAGCGCCGGCCGCTGCCGCTGCTTCTCCCAGCGCCGCCGCCGCCGCTCCTGCCCCCGCTGCCCGGAGAGAAGTGCAGCCGCTGCCGCGCGCGCGCGCGCACCCCCGCCGCCGCCTCCGCGAAGAGGCGGCGGCGGGAGCGCGCGTTAAAGGGAAGCACCGGGGGCTGGGCGGGGTCAGCGGGGCAGAGGAAGAAGGAGGAGGCGGGAGGCGATGGGGCGAGCTGGGACCTCCGGCCGGGGTTTTGGGGGGATGGAGGTGCGGGTACCCGGCCTTTCTCCCTGCCGCCGCCGGGCTGCCGTGGGCCCCCACGCGAAAGTCCGGGAGGTGGAAGGGGCGGGCCGGGACGGGGCAGGGGGCGGCGAAGGCCGGTATCAACTTTCTTGACTCTTCTCGTCCTTTTCGGCTCCTTTGTTCCCCTCGCCAGTCGCCCCCTCCCCGGCCCTGCCTTTGTCTCCGCGGAGCCGCAGGGAGCAGCCGGGGGGACGCGGCCGGTGCCCCGGGCGGGGAGGGACGCGGTACCTGGCCGCGCGGAGCCTCGGCCGGCCTGCGGCGGGGCCCGGGCCCGCGGCGCTTGGCGGCCGCGCTCCGAGTTACCCCGGTAGTTTCGGCCGCTGCGTGGCATCAGCGCGGCCCGGTGGCACAAACCGCCCCCGGCCGCTGGCGGCCCCGGTGACGTGCGGCATCCCGGCTGGAGACAGGCGCTGTCGCCTGGTTGTGGCCAGGTGAACGAACCTCGCCTCCCACGCAGGCAGGCATTGCATCTGTGGAAAGCATCGCAGTCAGGAGTGGGAGAGGCCAAGGCAGAGCCGCACTTGAATGTTAGTTGTTTGTGGGAATATTAACGTGGAACAAAACAAACCTCCAGCAGAACTGGCTGTCAGGTAACCCCGGCTGTGCTGGGCGATGAGACACTTCTGTCCCTGTGCCGACCCTGCTGCTTTAATCTTTACGTAATATGCTTAGCTATGTTATGTAAACTATCACCTCAAACCTTCCTGTAGCAGGGAAATACACCAGCTAAGGGTAAAGGGGTAATGCCCAGTCAAAATGTTTTCCCTTTTTTAACAACTAAAGGGAATTAAAAAAATAAAATGTGTTCTCACCATTCAACATGTAGGAGGAAAAGTTTCTCCCTGCTTGAGCTGTGAAGTATTGTATTTTTTCTGACTTATGTTTGCGGTGTAGGTGGAGCTTATGCCACCAAACATACAGAAGTTGAGAACTTGAAGCATTACTGAAATGTATAAGGATTAGAAACATCACTTATACCTGCTCTCATATTACATCCAGATAGCATAAGTGTTTTTTGCAGTTTACCGGTATGTAAAATTAATACATTTATTTGTTGAGAACTTGTTTTTAAATGACTTGATTTATTTCCTCTTCCTATTTCTTTGCTAAATAATCCCAGTGATATTTTCACCTAAACCTAAAAATAGCACAGTCAGCTAGTTCTTCCTATTCCGTGTGCATTTACAAGATATTTTCCTGCTTGTTCTGAGGAAGAGCTCCTAATGTCAGCTAGGTGGGTTTCTGTCTGCAAGCATACATTGACTTCTCAGAAGAACTAATAATGAAGTAATTAATAGAATATGATGTGTGAAAGTCCTTCAAAAAATGCAAACTTCCTGCAAGCGATGCAGCTGATTGTGCTGAAAGGTGCACTGCACACTCTTGACATCATGGTTCCCTTTTCTAAAATCACTTAAACCATGCTTTTTTGATTCAGTCATTTGGAAAAAACAGACCTCCTGAAAACCATCCAGGAAGTGATAAAATTCAATTCTAAATGATTCTTCTAACCATATTTCCTTAATGTTTCTCTGACAGCATAAAGTGCCTTAAAAGGAGGCGCACATTGGTCTGTGTTAACTCCTGGGCCCATCTCAGGACGTCTCTTTGGTGGCAGTTCATGGTGCTTCATTACCCATCTTTTCTGCTAGGATTTGCAGGAAGCACACAGAGAGAAGCTGACTGAATGGCCTAATTGAGACAGGGGCAGGATGGGGCCATACAGTGTCCCAGAATCTGGGTCATAATTTCCCAGTGCCAAAATAATCAAGGGAGCACTGAAGTGTTTCAGCACCGAGTGAGAGGTTTGAGTCATCGCGAGTCAGGCCCTGATTTTTTCTTTTGGTGTGTAACCTCTGGCCCAGAGCCCTAAATGGTAGGGCTTAAATTAAGGACGACTAAACTAGGCAGAAGGTTTGTACTGCCTTATGAATAGAACATACACACTGAGGTGTGCCCTGTTTTAAAAGCAGAGGTTTTGAATGAGCCGTACCTATGCAGCGTAAAGAGAGTAGGGCAGGGTAGTCAGCTGCTCCCATTTTTATCCTTTTGACCTTTCAAAATAATGTGTTTGGCCCTCAGATGTTAAAGGTGGCATAATATTGCTCAAAATCCTTTGGAAGACTTTTCTAAATTTGGATTATATAGGTTGAGTCCTTTTGAAGTGAATGGGAATACTTCAGTGTTAGATTTCACCCATGCTGGAGTGCTAAGGCACACAGTTACACTTCCGTCCCCATGCTTAGTTTATTGTGGTTTCTAAAAGCTGACACTATTTACACCACCAGACACATCCAAAGCAAGCAACATGAGTTCTTTACTCTCACAGAGACTTGGAGCTTCCTTATGGAGACACACCGGAGTTCATCTCACCTGGCACAGGCAGTCATGCTTTAAAACTATTATGGTTAAGGACACTTTTGTTAAGGGCTCTTGATTTGAGTGTCTGTTATAAGGGCAGATATGTCAGTTAAAAATCTATGAAGTTGGAGACACCTGAGCAAAGTTTCCATTTAGAAGTGTTTAATTTAAAGGAGTAATAGATCTATTTAGATTTTTCAGGATTTTTTTTACATTTTTAGCTATACTGAGAGCTGTACTCAATTATAGTGAATTTTATCCATTTCTGTTTAGTTAAAAAAACAGGAAAATACTGTTCCGTGTCAAAAAAGAAATAGGAAAATGCAGCTTTGATTTTTTTTTTTCTGCATTTCTATTTATGCACTACTGGTCATTCCCATTTAAAAGGACATGTCATTTATATATCACTGTTAAAGCCATTGAATGAACACCATTGTCAAGTCGTAACTGATAAAATGGATTTGATTTTCTGAGGTAAAGATGAGAAATCATCTCAGCTGTGGTATAGGTGAAGACACAATGATCTCTCTTGTGATAGCATATCTCTCTTTCAAAACTTCATTATTTTATATTAAAAAGTGAGACGATAATATTCACTTGCCCATGATGTGTCTGATTGTTACATCAATCTTTTCCAGCGAAGTCCTAATGAGCTAGTTTGTTTCATCCATCTGAACTATTATCAGCAGAAGTTTGGAGGAATGGGGACAAAGGTGCCTTTATTATTTTTTTACCTGATTCCACTTCCCAGCTCCACAGGAGCTGTCAAAGCCTGTGTCATTCCCTCCATCTCTCCCCTGCTGGGAGTTGGGCCCCGTGGGGCTGTTTGGATAGTGGACAGCAGGCAGCTCTCAGCAGCAGGCCCTGGTCTGGTCCTCCCAGTCTGCTCCTCCATCCTTAGCTGTGGTGGGGGCACAGAATGAGGAGTTTCTGCAGTAGCTTTATGTTGTTCCAGGATTCTTCTCCCATAGCTGATTTTCCTTATGCTACCATAATGGCACAAGGCTGTAAGGACCATCCAGAGGGTCTAGCCTCTTGTCTGTTTTTTCCCTCTTTGGTAGTTCTCTTTCTCCTGTTTGTAGATAGTTTATTCTCACAATGCATCTAATCTTTTTTTTTTTCCTACAATCTTGCTTTGCTTTTGTTGCTACATGGATGAATCCTGCTCTCTACGTTGGCAAATGTAAACTGAAATTCACAGGCACCCTGATCTCTGAAGTGCCAGCTTTGTTTGAAAATGCAGTATCTGAGTGATTCAGAGATCAAGATTCTTTTTGTTTCTCTTCTATCAGCATGTAGAATAAAGTGGCATCGCAAGGAAGATATCTGCAGCAGAAATTTAATGAGAGTTTTCAGTTAATTGTGTATGTCCTCATCACTTAAAAAATGACATCCTATATCAAGGAAAACATTGATTGAATCCTGAACACTAGGTAAGCCTATTATTCAAACAATGCCTTGACAGTCTGTTTAAAGTATTTTCATGGCATTCTGAAGTAAAATGATTGTGTGAACACAGAGGCAAGTTACTGCTAGCCTGACTTCTTTATTTGCTCTACAATACTGCAAACCCCCAAATCATTAGCATTTATTCACTCTAATATTTTCAGGCCATTAAATACAAAAGGAGTTGTAAGTTGTGTGGCAAACAGCTTTTAAGGTCTTTTTCATTCTAGCCTAAAAAACGAAGAATTTGCAGCTCCTCCTCCCCTTTGCTCAGAGGCAGAACAGCTCCCACTATCATTCAGCTGGAACCAGAACAAACAACTGGGACAATAACCATGTGGCATCAGAAATCCTGGTGGCTCTCAGCTGCTTTGCTATCCAGGATTGTAAAGAATAAAGATAAAACGTATTAGGAGTGGGTAGGAGGAAGGTAATAACTTGCTTCCGTGTTCTTAATGAAAGCCTGTATTTTTGTTTAAGATAGGGAATAAATTAACTGCATAGTGGCCGGAACAGATGTTTGTTTCTGTGTGCTGGTTTAGAGCCTCACTTAGAGCCTAACTGCAAGATAATTACAGAGGGTAATTCTGTGATAGTTTCTACACAGAAATTGTTGAAAGCTGAATCCTAGACTAAGCCACTGCTTTAAAAATCTCATATTGCATGTACTGAAGGGAAAAATCTTTATTTCCAGAGCTATTGTAATGCATTGACCTGTAACTGGAAGAATTCCCTGCATTGTCTGTCTTAATTCATCACCATATGTGGGAGAGAATGTTGAAAAGTGAAGATAGGTTAGAAAAGAAAATTGGGGTGGTTTAGGTGTTACTTCCACACTCTTCAGCACCTCCGCATTCCTATTATTTTCTGTTGGTTTCATAATGTCTTAATTCATAGGATCAGAACTTGGTTTTCTGATTAAAGATGGGTAAAATTCTGAGGGTCTCTTGTGGTTCTGTTGGGAAAGTTACATCTTTACACTGAAAAAGAAGCCGTGGGCA